CCCCAAAACCCCAAAACCCCAAAACCCCTTTTTGATAAATTAAAATAGAATTATCTAAAATAGTTCAAAATACATATGGAACCAGGTGGTTATAATACAGAGTCAAAGTAAGTCCTCCCCTCTTACCTCTACTCCTAATCTTTGTAACCAACTAACTTTTATAGTTTCTGAGACAGTAATGGGTCTCCTAGAAAAGAGCACTTCGTGCTAATCCCCATTGACACTCAAGACTCTAAAGAGAGTTATAAATAGTGCCTCTAGAGGAAGAGAGTAAGCTTTAAAACATCACCCATATAAGTCACAAGAAAGTCAAAGAGACCAGGCTACAAGAGATTAAAATGACTGTTAGCTTCAAAAGACTAAAAAGTACCAATACAGCTCTGGTAAATCCCACCCATCTATTCTTTAGAAAAGAGATAAGTCTAAATCTCCGAAATAAAAGCGTCCTGGTTCCGCTTAAAGAATATAATGATTCTCTATGTATCTCTAACGTAGGTAGATATGTAACACTGAGTAATCGTAATTTAGCTAGAAAATCAAGACGTTAATGAATCTTGTAATCATCCTTATCAAGTAAGCTTAGGAGAATCTCCTAAGAAAAAGTATGACTCTCAGTTATAATCCTGACTAAAATAGAATGTTGTCCACAATTAATTTAAGCCATGTCTTTGAAGGAAATATTAAGAACTACCAAGTCACAAGGTATCTCTGCTACCAGTTTGATCAATAGTGCAATGAAGGAGCATACAAATAAGTCATTGAAAAGGCCAAAAACAAGCAAATCTTCAAGTCTCAAAAGGAAATGGCGTCATATTCCTCTAGCTTTATTTCCCTTTGGGACAAAGATAGTCCCAAAGCAGCCTTATACAACCCCAAAGAATCCTGACAGTGTTAACCTTGAGATTAAAAATTCAATGAAAAGGTCCTGAGAGTTGGCTGAAACCCAGAAAAATGATAAGCTAAAGAAGGGAAATAGCTTTATAGTCAAAGCAAGACAGAATTCTGTTAATCAAAGTTTGAATAAATAAGAAATCCTTGGTAATTTTGCTTTTGAATATGAAATTATCAACCTCTAATTTTCTTAGAAGTTTTAAATAAAAATATTCAAATTATAGTCGAATTCAAGAAAATTTGTGACTCGAAATACCTTATTTTTGACTAAATAAGAGGAGAAAGATGCTCCGAAGCTCAAAGCGTAGATCTCAGTCAAAGAATCCAAGAGGAAAGAATCTTTTTCCTTACAACTGGCCTTGAGAAGAAAGTGTAAATACAAGTTCGAGGCCGAGCAAGACAGCTCAAGGCGCTAGACCAGCAAGGATGTCAAGGACTACCAAGACCACACCAGTTGTATCACCTTCAAAAACATCTCTTCATAAGAAGATTGAAGAAGATCAACACAAAGAGATGAATAAAGATTTGGTAGTAAATGATCATGCTGAAAAGAAAAGATGTTTCAAACCTAATCAATCGACTGGCTCTCCCTCAGTTCTGCTTCCAGAACAAGGTAAGTGTTCATATCTGATTATCTGAAAAGTTGAGAGGTAAAAACATTTACTTCTTAGACTAATTGGAGTTTAACATAGGAAATTTAGGCTTTTTGTTGTAATTATTTAAAATATTGTACTTTAAGCTTGATTTTTAGTAATACAACTGGCTTTATATATTTTACTCAGAGGCATAATATTTTGATATCTTTGTGTATAATGATTGTATCGAATATAGAAGTAGATCAGATCGTTGTCCCAAAGCGCCATTACAAATCATTCTCGACAAAAGAAGCAAAAGTATCTAAAAATCCCAATTTTAGAAGAATTACAAGCAAACCTTCATACAAGGTAAATTTTAGTTCAAATTTTAGGAAACTAAAGATGCTTGAATCAAAACCTTCAAAGATCTTAAGCGCGAGCATGGATTCTTGGAAGGTAACAGAAGGATCCTTGGGTCTGGATACCAACCTCCTTCTCAAGCTATTATGTGAGAGAATGAGGTAGAAAATACAGTTCCAATATATCAGATGGATTTTAGCTCATCTGTAGGAAAAGGATTCAGCCTTTTTGAAAACCCTGACTTGGAATACTTCAAAAATCGCAAAAGTTCTCTATTTAGATCACACAAGCTTTCTCTTATTGAGTCTAAAAGAGAGGAAGATGAAAGAAAGCCTACAGGAAGTAAATTACGGAAACCCAGCATAGCAGTTGATTTAAAGAAGGTAATCCTTGACTAATTCCATAGTTTACTCATAAAGAGCACAGACAGCTACGCGTACAAGGTAACCCAGTGCATCCAATCTCACCTGCCAACATGCATGACCAGCCAAAGTCCTCTATTCAGATATGCCTAGACTAAGCTCTTAAAGCCTATTTAATTTGTAAAATTTCCCAAATGAAATATCTCAAATTAGCTTAAAACTAAAATTTTAAAACTTAATTAAAACTGTTTAAGTGATATTCAAGGTCAGAATTAGTCTGTTTCTGAGTATTCTCACTGTAGAAGCCTGTATTTAGGAATGGTTCGTTTTTAGGAATCTGGTTAATAGGTGCTTTCAGAGGCGAACCAGTCGCCTTTCCTTGTACTTTTAGAACAGGGTAGAATTGTGGACTAGCATCACGAGGGAGTTCAATTGGCTTCTTGGCTGCTAAATGGGCTTATTATGGAAGTTTACGAGGAATTCGAGTCAATTTTTGTTCTCTGTAGTTACAATATTCATTTTCGCCATGTGCTTCTGAATAAGAGATATCGTGATGTGATTCATTGAGGAATTTAATGTACTCTAAAAATTTGGATAAAAAGTACTCGCTCGTTCTAAATCCATGTACTCTTGTCTAATTCTGAGATTTGTCAAGGATACTAAAATATAACATAAATTTCCTACTTCGTTTGTTATGGAAAACTGTCAATGGTCTTATTTTTGTATCTTCTCCTTCTTTATCATATGAAGAAGATCTTAATGGACCAAATTTGTCTGAATTTATATACCAAATATTTACTCTGAGATTTCTTCTTTATCACAGTGTCTTCATAATTATCATAAGCAATAATCTTCCTCTTGGTGATTTTGTCATACTGAAGTCTCAAATTTAGTTTCAAATCTGGCTTGATACTGGTCTTTTTGACTGACTTGACCGATGCAATTCTACATGTAACTCTATTGATTTACGAAGAGGTCTTTTTGACTTTATCCAGCAAATTCCTCCAATTAGTCCTATGATTTACTGAATCAGTGATACCTCTTTTTAACCTTCTTTTTATTCTTCGAGTCATGGGAGTTCTTTACTTGCTTGGCCTTATTCCTAGTAACAATATTTTGGTATAATTTATGATGCAAAGAAGTATTAGGCCTTTTATTTATTTTATTTAAAAATCTGTTTAGCTTTCTTTGAGGCTATAAGCATCCCAAATTTAGCAATCTTTGCATCAGGCTCCTTATATCTATTAGAATGTATATCAGTATATGAATTCATTTCATTTGGGACGCTTCTAATATGCCTAGATTGAACTGGTTTTCTCAAATTATTTGGACTCTTATCTTTCACTTTCTCAGTTCCAATTTGATTATTTTCATAAATATCGGAAGTAGATTCATAATTATTCTTAGGTTCTTCAAGCATTGATGGTGCATCTTAAATTTCATTGAATAAATTACCTTTATCAAAATGAGTGATGGTTGTTCTCTTTCTGTGAAATAGGTTAGGCACATTGTCAACTTTCATCCTTCACTCTTTCTCTGAGATTTCCTTTGAACTCTGATAATCAAAGAGGATTTCTTTATCCGACTCTATGCATTAGAAATTATCGAACCAATATGTTGGGAGAATCTTTTCCTTCGAAAACTTCCGATCTGGATCCCTTCAGACTCTTTCTTAGGAAGGTCGACCTTGACATTGATCTTATTCCTGAGGGTTTTCTCTCTAGATTTCTTCTGTTTTAACAATTTCTTGCCTTCAAAGTTATTAACAGAGCTTCTTGAAGAAGGATCATTAGGCTTGCCTTTTAGACTATGAATTCTGCTGGGGAACACTTCTTGGCTGTTCTGGGAATTTATCTTCTTGGGAGGAATGAACTGCATGCTGATTTTGGTGAGCTCAGGATTTGGGATTTTTGAAGGTTGTGTTTGGGTCTGAGGAAGGACTTGAGCTGGAGGTTCTAGAGAAAGTGTCAGGGGTTGCATGGGTAATTTGAATTATAAGGAAACATTTTAAAAGAGATTTTCTTTTGGAAATTTTATTTAAATATTTCGAAACTTAAAATTTTCTTGATGGTTTTCATAAATCATTCTTCTTTATAAAACCATCTGTCAGCTCACTAAATGCCGACAAACACTCAAAAATTGACTTACCTTCATTATGTTCTTCCTTCTTATACCTACCTGGGCTCCTTACAGCTGGAGGCTTCTCTATAAACCACTCTATATCTTACCTTGAGATCCTTGACTTTGACAGATATAGCTAAATCACATGCTTTCATACTTTGGTTGCTGCCATTCAGAGGCCACTGGTACTTGAAAAGGCTTTGTTTCCTTGCATCAACTTTAGTCAGATTTATATTGAATCTATCTTTCTTGCGAGAACTCGAGCTCAATTTTCTAACTCTTGTCTGCGGCCGTTTACGTAAGCTCTTTGGATTAGCTATATTTTCTAATTTATTTCGACTCTTGAATCTAAAGGTTAGATTAAAAGTACATTTATGGGGGAGACGAGGAAGTTAGAGTCAGAAGATATCTCTCCTTCCAAATTGTCTTGTGAGATCTGTATGTTCACATCCTTGTTGATATTTGAAATAGCAGATTTTTCGGGTGGCTCAGCCTCCTAAATATGAATTTAATTTCTATACATCTTTGCTCAAAAATTTTTGGTTCATGTAAAAGTTAGTACTGTTTGTATTCTCCATTTTTGACACTTCCTCTTGACTTTGGTTCTTCAATGCACTCAAGCATGCTATAAAATCTCCATAAATTCCAACAACGAAAAAAAACTCAAAATTTCCAACCCCCCTAAAACCCCACTTCTACCCATAATCCCCCTTCTCTTCCCTCATTCCTACCTTTCTGGCCTCTTCCACTGCCACAATCCTGGTATCTACCCAACCTCAACCAGTAAAACCCCTACCTCTCCTTATACCTCTTCCTCTTGTTCCCCTCCTTCGGAAGGACCAGTTTGCCGGTTCCTCCTTTCCTCTCTGAAGAGCAGTGCGAATCTGAGTCTAGATTTGTTCGTTAAGGATAAGTACTTGAAATAGGATGAGTGAGCTCGTTGTTTAGGTCAATGTTCATGCTTGATCTTGATTTTTGAGCCATTCTGGAATTGGGATTTGTAGGTATTCAATTATTTATAATCCCAAAGGGGTTTTGGGGTTTTGGGGTTTTGGGGTTTTGGGG